AGATTTTCCACGTTCACTATGCAAAATAATAACTAATTTTCGAATTTCAGGCAAAGTTTCTTTTCGTTTAGCATTTATGACTGCACAGAGCTAAAAAACACAAAAATTCCAAAACAAACTGGAGAGAAATACTGCAAACGATTTTATAAATTATTGCCAATTGCTTTTGAGTAAAAGTAAAAACCCCAAAAATATTTTTATTGCTTACTTCAGACGATTTTTGTTGCATAGTACGTAGTAGTATCCAATGGTGTCCCATCACTTATGTGAGCCATTTTTTGCTCCGTTCTAAACAATTGTATTTTTATTAAATTAATATTTTAATATTTTGAGAAAATGTATGTTATGTAATAATTGTTACTAAATTTAAGTATGAAACACACACACAACAAATTTTTACATGTTTTTTAATTTATTTTATTACAGTTTCCTTTTGTAAAGCACAAGTGTCCCATCACTTTTGTGAGACACTGTATTTATAAAAAGTCAAGACAGGATTAATCTGGTGCAAATTTCCCCAATGTTCTTCGAACTCTGCTGCCTCAAACTTCCAGTGAATCACCAAATTCGTTTTCGGTGTGTGATTTAACGCGTATTCAAAAAGTGCTTTGAAATCATCAAGTATCTGTGAGTTCAAAAGTGAAAAGTGTATTGAATCAAGGTCAACGTCGCAGCGTAGTGAAATATGGTTAATGTTTCTTGCTCGCTTCAAACATTCGTGATGTTATGCATTTCCGTCTCCTACAAAAAAAACCCAAGTGCTTAGATGCACCAGGGGAAAGAGTTTGGACATTGGTTTTCATGCTTTCAAAAGGAATTCAAAGTGTAATAAAAAAAAAGTTTAAAATTATTAAAATTTTGCTCATAAATAAAAAAAAAAAAAAAAAAAAAAAAATCAAATAAAATAATTCACATTCAAAATCTAATTCATAATATTCAAATAATCGACATTCTTATAAACATTCGTATAAATAATCAATCTATCAATCAATCAATCGTATATCATATCTATCAATCAATCGTATAGTGGTATAGTACAATTTAACTTTTAGGTTTGCGTTGTGAGTAACCTATGTAAAGGGAAAATCAATAACTCCAAATTCAATTAAACTCCATGTTTCTTAAAAGCCTCCCGGCTCAAACAAATGGAGGGACATGACAGACCACAGTAAATTATACACAACATAAATACACAAATGCCATTAAATTTTAAACACACATTTATTAAATTCTTGACTATTTTATATAATTAAATAATGGATAACTGATCAGTAATCCTACCACATATTTTTCTAAGCCAAAATAACACATAATACTACACCAAATTACAGCTTACATTAATTAAGATTAACATTATTTTTTTTTTCAAATTAAGTAGGTGTAACAAAATTTAATCCTCCAAATAACAGATTCTTATTAATTAGAAAGTAACGTTTTTCTAGCTCACAAAATTCAGTAGGTGAAACAAATTTTAATCCTCCTAAAACTGGCATTCACTTGAAATTATAAATAACTTCTCAATTTTCTAACTGTAATATTTAATTTATATAAGTAATAACAATATACAGGTAGATAAATCATTATTAACTGTTCTGCATTCGGGAAAACTAAGAAGAGAGAGAGAGAGAGATATACTTAAAAAAAAATTTCACTCACAGATGGAAAACAGTTTTTCCTGATTAGCCGGATCCTTAGTGTCCAATCCACATGGAAATAAGCCAAGCCCATTTTTCTTGGAAATTACAGTCTAATAATTCTTCAAACAGCCAGGCATCGCTTTAACTGTCCATTAGGTGGGAACCAATAGTCCAATTTAGAAGGATCTTTTATCTGTCCATTAGGTGGGAACCAATAGTCCAATTCAGAAGGATCTTTTTTCAATTCAATAACAGGTAGCTGAATATACACCAGTTTTTTTAGCACAATCACGTGCATCATCGAAGCGGTCGAGGCAACATTTATGCTGAATGTTTCGGAAAAAGGCTCTTGGAGATTAACCGGCGATTCAGGTGAAGAGAGAAAATCTGTGCTAAATTTTCTTGGTAGATTTTTCTCTATACATCTCAATCAGCTCTCAGTAAAAATGCTCTTGCAGCTCGCGCACATTTCTCCATACATCACGCAGGAAAATGTTCCTTGCATCTCGCACAAAACTTTTAAATATCCCGCAGAAAAGAAAACGGTACCCAGTCCCTCTTGCTCAGGAAGCCCGCAGCAGAGCAAAGCGCCCCACGATCTTTCTTTCTCTTTCACATCGCGGCTGCTCAAAATTCACTCAAATCAAACTCCGCTACAACCATCACCGCAGCCCGCTTGTACAAGTCGCTCGCCCCGCAAGGGGGGAGCCCCGCAAAACTTTCTGCTTCTCCTTTTCCTTTTCGCTCAGAAATCTGAATCAGAATGATCTCTAGCCTGGTGCAAGCACCCAGGAAAACTCGGTTTCTCCGCCTCTGTGAGTTCATAGGCTTTCAAAAAAAATCATAAAATTAAATCTTACCAATCCCGGAATTTTATGTTATCTAAATTGAGAAAATGACACACCCATGACGAATCAAACACCAGAAAATCTGACAATGAAATCCGAAAAACATCTGCACACATAACGTGAGAAAAAAAAATAGACCCCCCAACTAACAAGTGAAACTAAGCTTTTACGAGAATCCAATTACCAGCCACCCCCACTGTCTTGAAGTAAGAAAACTGCAAACTTTAAACAAAGCGCTTTCCGTTTCACACGCATTAGCTAAAAAAGACCCTACTGCCTCCATTTATAACCAATAAACCAGATGTGTCTCTTTGCAACCGTCTCTCGCCTTTGTTACAATTCCTACTCAAGAATAATGAGTTAAATAAAACCTTAAGAGCTTAAGAATACTTTTTTCCAGATTAAAATACACATGAGTACAAATAAAAATATTAGAATAATAATAACTTAAAACACATATTAGTAATTGAAATTCGCGACATAACAAAAGTTATTAATGTGATATTGAAGTGGTATTAAGTTCCAAAATGAGTAAATTACGTTTAAAAAAAAAGAAGAAAAAAAAACTTTGCATTTGTAGGTTATTTATATTACGATTTATTGATGATAAAGTTTTCCTTAAGTCATTTTAAGATCAAAGTTAATAATTCAAAATTTTATGATTTATTTAAAATGTAGTTTTGTATTTCTGAATTGGGGAAAAAAAATTATTGAATTTGGTAAAAAATTAGGTTAAAGGAATTTGAAGGTTTTACTTAGGGAAGGTTTCTAATACGAATAATATTTTTGTACTATTGTTTAAGTTTCCTTTAAATTTAAATATTTTATTTGAATTTTTACTGTATGTTAAGAATGAAGTATTTTAAGAAAGAAATTATTGTTTGAGATTTTTTGAATTGTTGGTATTTCTTTTAATGTTTTCAATGATAAACGTTGCAGGCTCTCACCCTTATGAAAAAATACCATTTTTTATTAAGTCGTAAGTATTTTTATTTTTTCATAAAATGGAGTGAGTTTTCATTTTTCATAATGGAATTGACAGCAGTTCAAAAAAGGTCAGTTGCCTTCTACAGAAGGAACGGAGGCCTTTTCTACAATAACTGCTGTTAAGTTAGAATAAAGCGCTACCTATTGGATACTGGAGAAGAATACTCTAAACTTGGCCAGTTTGGACTCAATGCTAAACCAATATGATGGAAATGCTAGTATTTAGATAAAGTTGTGGAGTCTTCAAGTTTTGTAAAGAATAAGTAAATTTTAAATGTCTTAATAACAGTGAAAAATTTTAAATTGTGTTTATGAATGACGTTTTACAAAATTTTTATATTTTAAAATGCCTTCCTTGAAAAACATAATTAAATAATATGAAAATTGGCATCTTAAATTGTATTATAATATTTTCATCAACAAAAATTGGAAACACTTTTATTTGAGCATTTTCTTTGTGTAAATATTTGAACTTTCACCATGTGGAACTATCAAGAACTTTACAAAATTTCATTGGACATTTTTATCTCAGAACACTAAAATGTGCAGTTGTTTTAAAAGAGTACAGTGTCTAAAATTATTATTGAATTCAAAATTTTAATGTCAAAATTGATTCAAAATATCGGTCAAAATTTTATGACAATAATTTTTTGTTTAAAAGTTAATATGTTTGTATTTTAAGAATTATATCTTTCACATTTTGCTGCTCTAATGCTTGTTCTTCCACCCTGCTCACCCAACTTTTCTTTTGAAGGGGGAATATGTAAGATATAACAAAATATGATAGCCGTTTCAAAAAAATAATTGACGACCTCAAGATTAACATTCTAAATTTGGTAATCTGCCCCTAAATTCATCTCTTCTCACAGGTTCCAGACTTTTCTATCTTATGTAACGTTTTAATACGTTTTAATGCAGATGCTTCTCGTCCAATCAGATTAATTCTAAGCCAAAACTGTGAACTGAAGCCAAAGAATCTCCTTAGAAATTCTTTGCTGAAGCTTCAGCCTTCTTGCTATGAAAGTAATATAACCTTGCCTTTTCCCCGCATAGTTTTCCTGCTGACAAGACGCTTTTACACCATGCTGCTGCTTACTTAAGATGACGTTCTAATTAAAATGCAATTTATGTATTCAAATATAATTAGGAAGTATCTTATCTGAAAAAGGATGATTTGATATGCATGGAAAAAATAAAGATTGTGATTTTTCAAGATATGTTGTGCTAAATTGCGTCATCATGCTTTCCACTCTGCCACCTTCAAACCACAGTTTCATTACATATATCATATATTGTATGATCTTAAATCCATGCTATGGGGACACTCGTGTCTAGGTGGGCCAAAGGGAACCTCCAATTCTCTCACACATATATATATAACAGTCATAAATAAAATAGTTTTTCTTTTCACCAGGCTTTATGAATCGTTAAGGTTATCCGCATGCAGTTAGATTTCGCGTCAAAGTTTGTGTTTGGAGCTAACTATATTTCATCAATTAAAATTTTCAAAAAGAAAAAATCTACATACTGCATTGATATATCTCTTTTATTTCTCTGATCTGAATGTTGGTGATCGTGCAGAGGATTTCCAACAGCAAATCTTCGTCTTTGCCAGGACCATACATAGCTTTTCTAAGAAGTTTTGCATAATACTCTGCAAGAGGCATTAGAAGCAATTCCACAGTTCTCTTGAAATTTCCAGTCAGCTTAATTAATAATTTGTTTTTCAAATCCTAAAATGATATCAATATAGATTTCAATACTATTCATAAAGCTTTAATTGTATCAAAACAAAATAATATCATGGTATAAAACACACCTGCAAAACGCATACTAAAAAAGGAGAGCTATAAAGTAACTAAATAAACTCAAGAAGTAAACGAATTCATTTAAAAAATTAAACAATTTGGTGGGAAAATTAAAAATGAAATGTGATCCAATCAGCGCGAATAATTCTCTCTCTAAAAACACGAAAAACGTGAAAAACAAAAATTTTAAATTTTAAAATTGAAATTAATAAATTAGAAATGAAAATTTTTTAAAGTTAAAATTAAAAACTAAATGATTTTAATTTTCCTCGAACATCATCTTTTTAGGCGTTTGGTGTGCACAGAAATGTTAAGAAAAGTAAAATAACTTATCGATAAGCTAACCTCTGTGCATAAAATTAATTACTATTTTAAAAATTTTATTTGGAAAAACAAATTGATTTGCCCATTGATTACCCAACCGCGACAGGCCAGAAATAAAGAAATAGCAGATTAAAATTTGTAAAAATTAAAAAAATATATATATATATTAGAAACACGAAAGTTCACTTTTTACAGTAAGACTGCCATCGTTTTGCACGCGATATATTATCTTTTTCTTAGCGTCTTTATGGCTGTCGTCATTATTACCGTTAGTCTAAATCGGGCTCTTCGTCATCATCAGAAATATGATTCACAATCAATCATAGATGTAACAAAACGGGTCAACTTCGGTGGCTCTTTTATTATATAAATTTTTTAAATACAGCTTTCGTTTTCCTTCTTTTTAGTCTAAAGGGCAATTTGCCCAGAAGGATTATTAATTTCGTTTTGGCATTGTGCTTTGATTCACTGCAAGCGTTTTTTCACTTTTCAAATTGTTGCGACCAAATATTACCGCCCTGTATTATATTTATGTATTATATTTAAATTAAATAATGAAGAATCTGCATGAATGTATGTATGTTTCTCGCATTGTGATAAAACGACGGTATACCCAGAACCATCAAATTTTGAATAGCTAACCCTCCTGCGAATATGGGCATCTGGAAACCCAAATTTAAAATTTGCAATTTGTTTTATTATCTATTTCATATTTTGTAAAACTTTAACGAATTTTTGATGAACAAACTCATGGATTTCAAAGCGAGCAATGGCAACGTTGTACACAAAAAACATTTTTATCTCCAGCGCGCGAGACTGTGTATCGGATATTCTAAAGCTATGCTCATTTTAAAATTATTTTTCGATATTGCACTTGAACTGAATTTTATCGTTTAAGTGCGAAAAACATGATATTTAATAAAAAAGATAGTACACACAAAATGTTAAAAAAAAACCCGCCCATTTGGAAGTAATTTAAAATCTGAAACATTTCAGATTTATTTATTTATTTATTTTTTTTAAGAATTTTGAATTCACTTAGCAAACAATTTCAAGCAGTTATTCTTTTAAAAAAAGCACCGTGTTGCCGTTTATATTGGCAGACGATTTGCTTATGTTTTATTCCGAAATCGGCTATCCTAACGATAGTTTTTCTGCTAAAAATTCTTTTTATTCTTATATACCAGCTTCGCTGCCAGCCTTTGTCTGGCTTTTAAATGTACCGAAAAATGGCTGAAGGAAACACCAAACGTTAAATTTAAAAACTGCGTAGAATCTTACTCTGCAGAACAACTTCATAAAAAAAAGCTATTACGTAGAACAAAATTACAATTAAATAAGCAATATCCCTTAATATAAATATTAATTATCCTAATAAATAAATTAACCAACTTCCCTTTGCAAAATCTTAAGAACTGAAATGGTATAAAGGTTGTTAAGAACTTTGTTTCCTTAAAAAATCGCTCAAAACTTTTCAATATCTTAAAAACAGTGAAATGAGCAATAAATAACATAAAAGAATACAAAAAACAAAAACTTCTGAAAAGCAAAGTATAATTAATAATATTTTATTTTATATTTTCAAGAGAAAAAAATTACAATGAAATAACCTATATCTCTTAATACAAATATTAATTATCCTAATAAAAAATTAACCAACTTTCCGTTGAAGAAAAAAAAATCATGCAAAACTTTTCAATATCTTACAAACAGTGAAATAAGCAAAAAATAACATGAAAACAACTCAAAAAACATAAAATGCCGCGCAGAATTTCACTCTGCAGAACAACTTTATATAAAAAATAATAATAATAATAATAATAAAATACATTATATATATTTATATAAATGACAATGAAATATGCCAATCTCTTAAAAAGAGTAACATAAGAAATACGATGAAAAATTGTTGCCAAACCCATATTTCTAAAAGAATGAAACTATTCAAAATGATGCGATTTCATCAAAAATCTATCAACAACAATAAGATTGCCAAAATCACGTTTTTAAAGATGTGAGATGTGAGAAGTATACTCGGAAGCTTCATTTAAAAAATTCTTTAAAATTACAAAATATTATTTTTCGAAAATTCTTTTTGTTAAAGCAGTCGCAAGGATGAAAGTTTAACGTGTCCAAAAATCAAAGAAAAATAAACTGTACATTTTTAAACATAAACTTTTTTAGAAAAAATCCCGCTGGAAAAGATGTTAAGCTCCACTTTGTTAAATAAATTCGTATTTGAATCGAGTTATTGAAACTCGAAATTTATTTTAAGTTCGATTAAAATAGCTAAGTGTTGACATTTCATGACGATGTGAAAATGGAGTGCGTAGAGTAAAATCTCGCTTTCCTATAGCCCATTATGTCTCAAAATGACGCGATTTCATCACAAAACATAAAATAAAAAAAATTGTAATTCGAATTTCGAAAAAATCGCTTCGAGGTGCACTGGCTCTTGTCTAGATGCACCTATGTACCAAATTTCGTAGTCGTGGGTCTATTAGCTTACGCGCAGCGCGAACGAAAGACACACACACACAGACAGACTCTTTCTTTTATTACATGTAGAGATAATCTCTCGTGTTTTAAAAGTTCGACTGAGTTTCAGCTGTCAGAGAGAACATCTAAACCAGGTGCAGCCCAGCGCCATCTGGCGTTCGACGTCGGCACCACACACACATATTATATGATCGATAGTTCAGATAGGAAGAATTAAAAAATAAAACATGCAACGAAAGTACTACTAATATGTGTAAAATATACTAAACAGCAAAATGGAATAAGTAGAATTTGCAACATTTGCTCCGCAAAAGCTTAATTTAAAATGTGAAATAAGATGAAAAAAATCACCTCATTAAACATTGTTTTGTACGTTTCCATTATTCTTTTACGTTGCTCATTTGTGCGATTACCTAAGATCTGAATCAAGGAATCGTCATTTTGACCTGAAAGGAAGGAAAAAAACATACAAATATCAAAATAAGTCATTGAAAATTTATATATATTCAGACTAAATGTTCTACAAAACATTGTGTGCGTTAAAGTAATATATTCCTTTAAAACTTGCGCATCAAGAAGAAAATATTTTATTAAAATATTCGATCAAAGATTGTGCATTAAAAAAGGAAAAATGCTTCATTAAAATTTTAGCAATATCATAACATTATTTTGATATTGTTCCCGAATATAATAAATACTCTAGCTAAAAATACGCACATTCTTAACCAGCTTATAATCACAAATAAACATTCACCATATATTTAAATTCAAGATTCTTATTCTTTTTTTGAAGCCTTTTGCCATATATGTGTATATTTAAATCGAAAAAATGAATCTTTAATTTTACAATAAATTATTGATATGTACTTTTTAAAAACTTTTGTAGCAATTAAAAAGTTACGTAAATAACAATTGTAAAGCAAATAAGTGTTTCTGTAGTTCTGTATTATAATATGAAGAAACTAAAATAAACTTTAATACACGAAATACGATACAGCCGCCTTATAAAGGAAGGAGAACCCGTTCCATTTTTCTTCTTGTTGATTTTTTACGATACGCAACCAGTGATGTAACTAGAGCTTTTACCGCTTGGGTCGGTCCTTGAATATGTCGCCTTTCTTCATATACACTGACTACCAATAAGTATTTGGACACCTGTGATAGAAAAAGAAAAACTAACTTTATTCAAAATCAATAGTAGGTAGAGCCTCCACGAGGGGTAATTACAAAGACTTGTGGAAAGTATGGACCCTCCGGGGCATACTTTACACAAGTCTTTGTATTACAGCTAGTATTTTCTTCCACTCGGCTTGGAGAAGACATAGAAGTTCCTTCACCGATTTTGCACGGGTAGTGCACCCCTGAATTCGGCGATGCAACTCGTTCCAGAGGTTCTCGATAGGGTTCAGGTCTGGACTCTGGGCATTCGATGAACTCCATTGGCACCTTTCCAAGCCTTGGTTAACGTCGAAACATGACAACTGGCTTTGTCGTCCTGAAAGTAACAAGGGTCCAACCCGTAAAACTGCCACAACGTAGGAAGCACATTGTCATCCAAAATAGTGCAGTAGGCATCGGAGTTGAGCTTACCATGAATGGAGACCAAGGGTCCCAGCCCATACCAGGAGAAACACACCCAGACCATAATTCCACCTCCGCCGAACTTGACTGTTGGCACAATGCATTCTGGCAGGAGTCGTTCTCCAGGTAGACGCCAGACCCAGACCCTGCCATCCGAAAGGTAAAGAGTGAACCTTGATTCGTCACTCCAAAGAACCCGTTTCCACTGATCTACGGTCCAATTTCGATGTGCTTTGCACCACATTAACCGAGCAGCGCGGTTGGACTTTGCGATCAAAGGCAGCACGACCATGAAAACCAAGCAGATGTCTCTCCTTACGGATGGTATTCATTGAAACAATACTCCCGGATGCCTGTTGAAACTCCTCGCGGATGAGGGCCATCGGTTGGGTGCGGTTCTTCCGAATTTCTCTGGACAGCACTCGTCGGTCTCTATCTCCCAGTTTCGCTGGTCTGCCGACTCGGGGCACATTCCGACAATCACCGCTCACCTTCTACTTCTTAATCACATAGGCCACTGTCGATTTGGGTACTTCAGATCACTAGATATGCCCTTTAAGGATCGGCCACATTTGTGACACCCGATAATTATACCTTTCTCGAAATCAGAGAGCTCCGAACTGCGAGGCATCTTGCATGCGACTAAAGCTGATGCTGTTTCCTACACGATATATACCGGCGGAGTCCGTGAAATACCTTAGGACCGCAGATATCGTCATTTGCATAGGTGTCCAAATGCTTATTTGTAGTCAGTGTACAATCAAATACACCCCCCCCGAAAAAAAGTCAAAATGACATATACAAAAATAAACTAAAGCTTTGTTTTTGAAGAAAAGCTTTAATTCCTACATTTTAAATTTATATGAGTATTTTGCTTGTTTTTTTTGGTTCGCTGACGTTGCAGAGGTTTACCTGATTGCTCCTGCTATCATTATGTTGTATTATGACACTGTAGAGCCATTAGGTTATTTGGATGCTAGAGACGTGAAACTTCAGCAATTCCCTCGCCGGGATTCGAACCTGACCTCTCGAATACGCGCCGGGTGTGCTAACTGTTAAACCACGAAAGCATGCTGGGAAGAGAGAGAAAACACCTTATATACTCCTGAGGGAGTGTTTCGGGCACGCCCTATGTTCAAAGTTAAAAAAAGAAATTGCAACCAAAGTTATTTATTCGTATTATTTTAAGCAATGGCAGTTACAATGGAATACTTTTGAAAGGAAAAAACACTTAGAACTAACTGACTAAGAAAAAGAATATTATCTTCAATGATTTTGAAGTTAACCAGTTTCTGACCGGACATGGGCGTTTCCCGGGATACTTCGCGAGGTTTAAGATACAGAACGACAATAAATGTTAACTATGTAAATGTTAACTATAAATGCTAACCCTGATAAGAGCTGCTCTCGTAATAGAATATGTGGTTTGTTTGGTGATGCTAAGCATTTCCTCGAGGTCTGTCCCAACTTTAATAGCTTAAGAAAAAATCAAAATATTGATTTTGAAAAATCCCTTTTTATGTTATAAAGATTTCGCACAATTATGTAAATCTATGATGAAAATTATTAACGGTGAGCGCCGGGCAGTGGGAATCAGTGCATGATTTTTGCTTTTTATTGCCTATTTATTACCTATTTGGTCTATTTTACTGATTTGTTGTTACCATTGTTTGTGTTTGTTGTTCGCGGTTTTTTTTTTGTTTGTTTGTTTTTGTCTTTGATGTCTGCTCTTGTCTAAATGTTTGTATTTGTTCTTTTTCTTCACTTTTATGTTTATAATTATTATTAGAAAGCCCGGCGATCGTACGAAATGACAGCTGTTCTAGATATTATAAATTGTAATTAAAATGATTTGTGCAAAGGTGTCTGCTAATTTAAACTGAATTACCCAGAGCAGGCGGCGAGGACGCCCCTTTGCTTACTGCCCCACGGGGTTTCCCACTTCTACTTGCTTAATTGCTTAGAGTGCAATGAAGGAAACCACTGGCGGTACATTTCTTAAGAGCCCACCGCTAGCTCAATCAATAAAGGTGATTTAAATAATGAAATGTTAATTCACATGTCAAAGATCTCTTTGTACACAACATTTCTTGTGTAGATCTTTCCATCATTTTTAAGTTCGCCTTGCAGAGGACCATCCATTATTTTTAATTTTACGTCCGTTCTTTCCCGAACTCTTGAACAGGCAACATAAAGTTGACCGTGTCCGAATGCAGGCTCAGGTAAAAAAAATGCCAACACGCTTAAGCGTTTGGCCCTGAGACTATGGATGGTCATAAGCAAAGGCAAGTTTTACAGGAAGTTGTGTACGTCTCAATTGAAACGGTAAACCTGTGCCGTGGCAACTTCACCCCATTGGGTAGTACAGTTACGCAAGCAACTAATAAAATATCGGCGACAAACAGACACTTAAGCCAGACATACACACACATATATATATGGGATGAAGTAACATCATCTCCTCCGAAACGGCTGGCTCCCGGGCTTAGCGACTACCCCTCCCCCCTCTAGTTACGCCACCGTATACTACAAAGTAAAAAATCATTTTGTATATATTTATCGATACTTCTTCACCATTGCCATCGTCTTTACTTAAACGGTGGGGCCCACCAGCGGGTGAGAGGTAAAGTCGATGAACACAGGTACTTCGGTTCGAATCCTGGTGAACGGTCTGGTTGCAAGGGCGTTTTCGTGGTTTTCTCCATGTGTAACGTGTATACGTGTTTCCCTTAGAACGTCCTCCAAAAAGGCATCCTTCTCCTTAGGTAGTTAGTCCTCATGTGCTTTGCCATAATCAAATAAACCAAACCATACTTAAACGGTGCTAAGATCCTCTTGTTAATGGACAAAATGATAACCCTGATAAGAGCTGCTCTCGTAATGGACGGACAGTGATTGTGGATAGGGTTGCCGACCGTTTGGCGACGGTTTGGTGAAGGCGCCGTTTGTATGACCGTTTGGCGAGCAGGTTGCCACTTTGACGCAGTTCATTAACAAGAAAGATGCTTGGCGCCATTTAAATAACGAGGCCCTAATAATGCTAATAAGGAAGTACTTATTTATCTACATGTATTATATTGTTTAGTAAAATATCCTGAGGAAAAAGTGTTTATAAGAATCGGAAATAGTTTAACAAATTTCCACTTTAAATAACCAAATCTGTATAAATAATTTATCTTAAGACACTAAAAGAATATAAACTGTTGATTTTAGTTGAGAAGCAGTGAATAATTTTGGTAACTGGTCACATATTTGGAAAGCTGCAGGAATAATAATGATTTAAAAACAGAAATTGTAAATAAACAACAGTGTAAATGGACGCCTCTTGTTATTTCAACCTATTCTGCATTACACTGTCAATTATCCTTTAGAGCAGGGGTTCTCAACCGGTGGTACGCGTACCACTAGTGGTGCTCAAGAGAAAAATAGGTGGTACACAAAGAAGCAAAGTATTTTTAACTATTAAATTCAAAAATTAAAACCCCAACATTCAGATTGAGTTTTTTCTCTAACACTTGTAAATTTATGCGATCTGAGCTTTGTTCGAGAGTGGTGGTGGTTGTAGTACTTTGTAGTGGTGGTGCTAAAGGTTTTCAATTTTTGTTTAGATCGTACGCGTTAGTCAAAAGGTTGAGAACCGCTGCCTTAGAGTATTGAAAAAAAAATTACATTAACTTGAGTAACCAAATCATTTTCTTGTTTCGTCACTGATTAACAATACTTGGATTATATAGCAACATATTAAAAAATCATTGGATTAAAACTTAGAAAAGTTCACTAAACACGTGCAGAGCAGTCATGAAAGATACGCTTGATCATTTACTAAAAAAAATTATCAGACAAATACAATGAGGAGTTAAAACATTCAATGTAAAAAAAAAAAGTTTTCACTGCACAATTTTCAACAGTGCAGCTACTAGAAAGTATGTTTAACAAATCACTATTTGTTTGTTCATGTGAATACAAGGAAATAATAATTAAAAAAAAAAAAAAAAAAAAAAAAAAAAAAAAAAAAAGACAAAAATGCCAAGCGCAAATAGTAAAAATAATAAAATGTGAAGTGTGAAAGATTCTTTATCCTTCAGTAAAATATCATATTAATTTGTAAGGATCTTAAGTTTGACTAACGTTTATTTTGTTTTAAATCTTTACTGTCCTCTCTTATTTCCCACTTCCGGCTAGAATAAACGCGTTAAACTGTTTATGCAAATTGTACTTGCTAACGCTTGAGTATTTAAGTAGTGACTTTTCGCCAGGAACAGAGGTTAGTGTGTGTGTATGGGATTATCACAAAGCCTCAATGGCTATCCGGCTAAAGGGAGGGATGTTTTCGTGGAAGACTTTCTAAGGGAAACTGGCTCGTGTACGCGTTACACATAGGGAAAACCACGAAAACGCCCATGCAGCCAGCCCGTTCGCGGGTTTCGAACCTCGGACCGAACTACCGGTGTTCAGTGACTTTACCGCTCGACCGCTGATGGGAGGAACGGAGGGTAGATGGGGAGAGAGTGAGCCTTCTTGGTACTGTACTTCAAACGAGCTTGCAATCAGTTTCTGTGTAAAGTATTCAAAGTTTAGCTCTTATTTAAATTTAGTTAGTTAGTAGTTATACTATTTTTACGTTCAGACCACAAATGGTTGGTCTTTGTATCCCGAAGTGCGGGAACGCCTGTAATATCGTGGAGAATAAAGGTTAGTTAAACCCTTTGCATTCTAGTCACCTATTTTACAATTTCACAGAACATAGCTTCCAGTAAGTTCACTGCTCCCATTCAAGACACTTCATGTTCGCAGAGCAGCTAAGGAGAAATAGAAGTCCTGACAAATTCACAAATAAAAGCTGTAAATATTTTAATAAGCTTATATTAATTTTATGATTTTCTCATATAATTGGCATTTGAAAAAAGAATTAAAAAATTACAAATAAATTTTACGGTATCAATCTATTCTTTAGCAGTTTGAAATGAACCAGTAAAAAAATAGAACGTACAGTAAAAGTAAGAGACTTTTTCAGATAAATAAATCATAGTTAATGGATAAAAAGACACTGCATTAATAAAAAAAATTAAAAAAGAGTAATTTACACAGTAATTTAAAATTGCAAATTTATTCAAAAAAATTCTTTTATATTCAAGTACAAAATCAAACCACAAATAGGGAGGGTAGAGTTCCTTACCAAGGTTATTTATTGCTTCCTTCAGAGCAACGGCATCACTCTCAGAATCAAAAGGATGATGAAACTAAATAATACAATAAAAGTTTTTTTTTCACCCATTAAATAATGCAAATTTGCATTAATGTATAAAATAATTTAATATTAAATAATAATTTTTTTATTCAGTAATATAAAAGTGTTGAAAGCCGATATAATGTATTCAAAATATGAACGTAGATAAGACCTATATATAAATTTCTTTAAAATTCATCTCTGCAACTTAAGCGTAGGAATTATTAGTCCAAATGGGCTTTGTCCTTGAAGGACTAGTGTTTTCGTTTTGCGATTTTGCGTTGAATCAATATAAAAGGCGAATCACTTTTCAAACTGTTGCCACCAAATATTAGAGTCCTGCATTATATTTGAAGAAATTAAAAAATGAAAAATCTGCATAAATGTGTGCATATTTCTCGCATTGTGATAAAACAACGGGACATAGAGCCATCGAATTTTGAATGACGTAATCCTCCTACGAATATGGGCATGGGGAAGGCCAAATTTGAAATTTGGAATTTGTTTTATTATCGATTTCATATTTTGTAAAAACTATAACGAATTTTTGATTAACAAACTCAACGATTTCAAAGCGAGCAATGGCAACACTCTAAGGAAAAAAAAAAAAAAAAAAACTTATCATCTGCTCGCGGAACTGTGCATGGGAAATTCTAAAGATATACTCATTTTAAAATTATTTTGCGACATTGCTATTGAACTGAATTTTACGGTTTAAGTGCAAAGAACATATTTAATAAATAAAAGTAACAGAAAAACGTTAAAAAAACGCCCCTTTGGATGTAATTTAAAATCTGAAACCTTTCAGGTTTTTTGATTATTTTTTTATCTTCTCAAACTTATATATACAGAGAGAGAGAGAAACCCATGTCGGGATCTTTCTATGGAATCAGCAATAATCCTGTTGATTTTAGACTTTATTTTAGTCCTCATTTTTACATTGTTTTTAGTCTTTATTTTTGCATTTTATTAAAAATTCCAGTTTAATTGTTTACAAACTCATTTTTTAAAATTTTCACAATAGTCCACCCTACGATCTAATTTCACTTCACATTTCACAGAAGACATTTTTTTATTTATTACTTATTCTCTATTAAATTATATTTTATTTTGCAGCAATAGCACAGGATTTTTCTTCTTAGTTCCTTTTAAATAAATTTTAAAAATTAATTAATTTAAAGTTTTCGTCCTTAATTTCTTATTTATTACTTTTATATTATATATATATATTTACTAAAGAAATATTGATTATATTATCTCCCAATATAAATTTAGTAGAAGTATCAAAAAAGAGGGTACCCATATGTAGGAAGTTTAATTCCGAAAATTTTAGATCATTCAATATATTATATATATAAATATTGAAGAAAGGTGAACAAACTAAAAAGACTCTCCTTATTTATTTTTATTATTATTATATTATATATTATTATATATATATTATTATTAATAATAATAATATACTATAGAATAATAATAATAATAATAATAATAATAACTATGAATAATAATAATAACATATTACAATAGCAATGATCTACAATAAGTAAAGTAACGTATAGAGTAAGTAGAATAGTAATAGAAGAAGCAGAAAAGTAACAGAAAAAGTAGATAAAGTCTACGTATAAAAAAAAAAAAAAAAAAAAAAAAAAAAAAAAAAAAATTAAGTACCAAAAGCAGATAAAGCCGGTATTCAACAATGTAAAAATGTAATACATACTGATCATCATTATTAATCATTCAGTCATTATTAATCAGTGAACACTAAAAATATTTAAACAGTTTTAAGATAAGCAATGTACAGTAACACATTGTTGCAAGATTTCATAAATACTACTTACAATAACTGTGGCCATGATTTGCCAGTTTAGACAGCTAGGAATTAAAGGTAAAGAAAAATACTCAGGTAAATATAACAATACATTTATATCAATACAAATAGACTACAATTTTTTAAACATATTTTAAGTGCTATATAAATGCATCATAAATGAAAATTAAAATGATAGATAAAATAAAATATTTAGTAATACATTTATACGAAAAAATGCGAAACTTTTAAAAAATATATTTCAAGTTCTACATAAATGTATTATAAATTGAAATCGAAGAAGAGATAAAACAGGCTATTTAGCATTACAATGATAAGGCATATTTTGCATAGCTTTATTCGGAACTTATGATTTATGTGCACTTCAAACGAGGAACTGTACTTACCGTGGAAACACAAGAAAAGGATTTGGAAAGTATTTTGGTAAATCAAGTGGGAAAAAATGCGTAACTAAAACTTCGAGGAGTGCTTAGAACGGGTACCACTCGGGAAATAAATGATGATAGAACTGCAGAGAAGGTAGACATTACAAAATTAATAGAAGATATTACCAAAAAATGACAATCAAAAATCGAGCCGAGCGCTCGAGCAGTATTAATCACGCAGCTTGTAAAAGCAGCCGATAGACGAAATTCTATTGGTTCTCTCTCGAAGGCAAATCATGCAATCAAGAAGTAAGTCCTGAGCCACTCCCACACTCCAGGGGCTTTTGGAAAATTCCTTTTTCTCCCCCGTTACTTTTCAGAATTTTTTAGAGCATTAGAGATCCCAAGGTGCAAAGCCTGACATTTAATGAAGACTTAAAATTTATTGTACGTTAGCAGTTAAGTTTAGTAATTATTATTAATTAGTTTAAATTTATGTTTTTGACATTTAATCTGTTAAAAACTCAGGTTGCATGCCTTCATGAATCCTGTAAACCATTTCGTAATAGTAAGACACAGTACGATTAAATTTCGCAGTGCGTGTGTGCGACTAACGAAATGCAGAACATTTGCAAACATATGATAAGGCCTGCAATTAAAAGAGCCTAAATTTTCCCACGAGGTAAAGACGTAAATTTTAAATTTTATCAAATATACATGAGAATAATTTTAGGTGTGGTGTGGTGTATTTAATTATGGCAAAGCACACTACGGTTATCTGCCTAAGGGGAGGGATGCCTTCGTGGAGGACTTTCTAAGGGAAACTGGCTCGTATACACGTTACACATGGGGAAAACCACGAAAACGCCCATGTAGCCAGCCCCGTTCGCGGGATTCAAACCTCGGACCGAACTACCAGTGTTCAGCGACTTTACCGCTCGGCCGCTGGGGGGCCTAATAATTTTAGGAGAAAAGTGAGGTGGAAGGCAAATGGATGAGGGCATCAGAAGTGCATACTTTTTATATATGTTGACGAATTCCAATTATCCGTATTCTAAACATCCGAAATGTAATTATCCGGAGTGCTTGTTCTTTAAAGGTTAAGCATAATTTCCTGATTTTTGTTTTAGTTATGGATTTTTAATTTTTTCGTGAATTAAATAGTTTAAAAAGATACTAAAATGAACAAAATTTTTTTAAGCTGATAAATTGATTTATCTTAGGGCTTCTTAAACTTTTTTCAGTCCCGACCCTTTTTAATCACTGAGATTTTTTCGCAACCCCAGGACCCCATACAATTTACGAAATTTTTGTGGGGACCCCATAAGCATTGCGCAAATCCGACACACGCGTGAATGAAACTGTCAATTTTTTCACTTGTACTGTAATATACTACTGCAGTTTTAGACCATTAACTTTAATTTCTAATTCTAACACGTAGAACGATCTGAAAACTTTAAATAAGTAACAGACGAAATCTGACGTGCAAAGGAAGTAAAACGACAGCGTGACGTGCAAAGGAAGTAAAACGAACGTTTATACATATTATAAAGAGAATGCGTCGAAACGTTTTCGTTTTTTTCTTTGTCTGTATAGTCTTATCTTTATTTTCAGATACATTGTGTAAATATATTTGGTAATTGTAAAATTATTACAAGTTAAAGAGATATCAAAACTGCTGGATGTCCCGCGACCACCACGGGGGTCGCGACCCACAGTTTAAGAAACTCTGATTTAGGTGAATGTGAAGACATGTAAAATGACCTAAAATATTCAATATTCGGCAAATATGAGACCTATAAGCATAAAAAGAAAATATTTATGGGTTTGTTTTACGCAAATAGAAAAATTACTTCTCTGTTTAAGAATTTTTTTTAACAAAATTCTTTATTTTTTAAATTGTGCTTGTTTGTTTTTATTATTTGTTTCAGTGCATTCTTTTCTTTGTTTTGTTATAATAAAAATAAAAAGGAAAGGATTTTGACTATTAACGTTAATCTGCCTAAAATATGTTGCTAAGAGAACTATGGAATATTGAGGCAAATTAAAAATAGACCCGTCATAAAACAAAACACTCTAAAGGACACTATTTAAAATACTCAAAATGACAAATTCCGTTGAGAAAAGGATTTTTTTCCCCCTCTCCCTGTTGTCATTTAAACTTCATTTCGAGACCAATTTTTTTCATACAAAAGTATTACAACACATATTTTTGCTGTTAAGAGCTATTCTATGCGATAACTGCATAAAAATTATATGTGTAAGACTAAAGTTGTGTTATGTTTGTTTTTATGCAATTTTGTAGAGTTCTAGCTGTGTAGAGGTCTTCAGACTCTGCTAGACTGACTATCTCTACATTCTGGATTAAGATGAGGAAGTCTTGCGAAGGTTAAAATAACCTTTAAATTTAATAGAGGGCACCACTTGTGCAAAACAAAACTCCAACTCAGTTTCAAGTAACGTAGACAGAGACTATAAAAGGGGATCTACTTAATGTGGCTCAAATACTTCGTCTACAGTTACTTTTCATATGATGATAAATTGGAGAGGTCGCATTATTCCTAAAGGCTGACAAAGATCCGTCACTCCATACTTCATACAGACCAATAAGCCTGCTTCCTGCATTTGGCAAGCTTTTAGAGCGCGCAATTTTGGTAAGACTTCACCATTTCTCGGATTCAATAAAATTCTTCCAGCAAAATGGATTTTAAAAAAATAAATTAACAGAACATAATCTAAATGACCTGCTTCAAACAATTAGTTCAAGTAAGGATAAAAATATGCATACAATAGTAATCTCTTTGGACTTCCAGAGCGCATTTGATGCACTTTGGTGGACGGACATCTTTAATATTTTAAAATTTTTGTTAAACGTCCAGCATCGATTCTGAATCTGATTTGCAGTTATCTCACAGATTGTTGTGCTAAGTTACCACAAGTAGTTCGAAGAAGAACGTCTCAAGAGGCTGCCCGCAGGGCTCCTGCGTGGGACCTCTACCGTGGAACATAATAGCCTAAACAGCATTTCGTGAATTTGAAGGTCTAGAAGATGTGCACGTGATAGCTTACCCTGATGACTGTACTCAGCCTTAATCTGGATTACAAAACTTACCCAAAAAGAAAGAAAACTGCTCAGCACAATTTAACGTCAGCAACTGCTACTCCTTACAAGAGCTTACCGCACTTTCCCAACTCTAGCATTACAAGTAATCCCAGGAATACCATCCTTGGACTTACTAGTTGAAAGCGAAGCTATCATCTCTAACGTCTTGAGACTCCAGAACTCGCAACTTGGGACCATTTATATTCTACAGAAAAATAGGACACACCATTGTCTAAAGACCTATGGCATCCAACAGTTTTCGATATTCCGGATACAATTCATCTAAAGCAAATCAATTGGAACTCCCAATTTAAGACATTCACGGGTGGCTCTTGAAATGGAAAATGGCAAGGGAAGTGGTCTTTGCCAATGTTCCAATAAACATTCAGTCTCAATCTTTTCAGATT